TTCTCTTACAGTAACAATTTGTCCATTTTTTTGAGGAATTTATAAGAGATTTTTTGGTTTTAATTAACTGTGCAATCGAAAAACAATCATTAGATTAATTTTCTAAATAGTCATTAGAATAGTCGACTATTCGATAAAATAATCGTCAGAATAATCGTTTTAAAAATAATCGTTTACGCCCGGCCCTAGTAAGTAGCTACTATGACAGGGCAGCTTTGAAGTCGGTGACTGAATGACAAGCAAACAGATTATTGTGATTCAAAGCTGCTTTCAACCTTTGCAAGGGTCGGCTTTTGTGGTGAGAGGATAACCTCACAGATCTGTTTACTGTACAAACCTGCTAGAGGGGAGAAGTATTATAAGAGCTTTGTAGCTGCTGACACTGTTATCTGCAAGTTAAAGGTGCTTCACACTTCTGTCAAATTTGGGTTTCTCACCTAAACCATCTCATCTAAAAATTAAGTTGAATCATCACATTTTACCTCCAAGATGGTACAATAAATATGACAGGATTATACAGTTTAACTATGTGGCCAAATATAGTTTACGACAAGTCAATTGGTAAATATTTTTAAAAATCACATTGCAGTTCTTAAAGTTCTATTTTGAAGGACATACAACATGACGTTTGTACAGTTTTAAATATAATTTTCAATTACACAAAACAATGAGAAGCTGCATATCTATATATATATCTATATATTTATATCTATATATAGATATAGATCTATATCTATATACAGTCAGGTCCATAAATATTGGGACATCGACACAATGCTAACATTTTTGGCTCTATACACCACAATGGATATCAAATGAAACAAACAAGATGTGCTTTAACTGCAGACTGTCAGCTTTTATTTGAGGGTATTTACATCCAAATCAGATGAGCGGTGTAGGAATTACAACAGTTTGCATATGTGCCTCCCACTTGTTAAGGGGCCAAAAGTAATGGGACGATTGGCTTCTCGGCTGTTCCATGGCCAGGTGTGTGTTATTCCCTCTAGGGCTGAAACGATTCCTCGAGTACCTCGAATAATTCGAGTACAAAAAATCCTCGAGTCAAATTCTCTGCCTCGAGGATTCGTTAAATTCATATTTAATTAATTCATGGCTTTGCAATCGCCCGGGGTCATGTTTCACCCGGACCGAAATAAGTGACGCACATGCCCACTGGGCTGAATGCACACGCGAGTAGCGAACGTAACTTAACTTTCTCTTAAGCCATGGCGGACAATGTGGACCCCGGTGGAGTTCTAAAAAGACACAAAATGTCAAAGGTGTGGGACCATTTTTCACGTCGTAAGGCGGAAAACGTACTCCAGTGTAAATACTGTAAAATGGATTTAGCCTACCACAACACCACATCCTCCATGCTGCAGCACCTGACCAGGAAACATCCACATGTAAATGTCACTTCTGCAAGTGGACTCAGCCTCTACAAGATAATGCATTTTAGCCTGTATTTCTATATATTCTGCAGACACTGTGCGACTTTTTCCTTTGTAGCACTCAGTTTTAGCTCACACCATACATCTGGTAGCAACACGTCGAACTTAAAATGTGCTAAAAAATAGCAGTTTTACACAACACGTCGGACTTTTTATTGTGTTATTGATGTCCGTTGTCCCTCGGGATCGCTGCAGGAGGACACAGGTATTTATGAGTGGCGGAGGAAAACGAAAGAAAGTAAATAAATGCTTTGTGATCAGTATAATTTGACAAAACCACGGCAAACATGCTTTCGACAATCCTTGTTATTGTGTGAGAAAAAAGTGTAGAAATTAAAACGGACGTGTGTTAATAGGGAAACAGCCGGCGAGCTGTTTGCGCATGCGCCGTGAGCGGTTCTGGTTCTGTTTGGGCCGCAGCCGCTCGCAGCGCTACTTCAGCAGTTATCCTCTGGCTTGCAGGTTAGCAGATTCTCGCACGAGGGGAAAATCGGCTCAGGTTGTGTACTTATTTTTTGCACAGACGTTTGTTTACTGTGAAGTAAAGTTGAAGTGCTGAAGTTTTGAAAACTAATTTTGAATAAAACTTGAAGAATAACTGGCGATTGCTTGCTCATTTTAAGAGGTCTTTCATAATTATAACATGCTATTTGATATAATGGTTTACAAACACAAAAGGGTAATTTGAGTACTCGATTAATCGAAAAAAAGATTTGATAGAGTACTCGATTACAAAAATATTCGATAGCTGCAGCCCTAATTCCCTCATTATCCCAATTACAATGAGCAGATAAAAGGTCCAGAGTTCATTTCAAGTGTGCTATTTGCATTTGGTATCTGTTGCTGTCAACTAAGATGAGATCCAAAGAGCTGTCACTATCAGTGAAGCAAGCCTAGCCTAGTGAACTAGACCAAGTTTGGTCTAGGAATGCTCCACTGGAACCTCTGCAGCCCCAACAGCATTCTGGCTAGCCAATCACAGCTCTCAAGAGGGGTTTCAAACACATAAAGAGCTGTGATTGGTCCATAATGGTGGGCCAATCATAGTGCTCTATCTGCTTAGTGAACAAATCACAGAGCTTTATCCGCTTTGTGGACCAATCAGGGCACTCTATATGCCTGGTGGGTGGGATGATGCAACAGAGTGAAACAAGAGTTTGTCACATTCATTGTCCAGTAAAATGCGCAGATCATTTGAAAAACGAAGGTAGAACCCGCCCCACAACCGAGAGCCGTCAATGGAGCGTGGCCAGACTAACTAATACATTTATTTAGTCTGGCTTGCCAGGCTAAAGCAAGCCATCATTAGGCTGAAAAAAACAAAAGAAACCTATCAGCGAGATAGCAAAAACAGTAGGCGTGGCCAAAACAACAGTTTGGAACATTCTCAAAAAGAAGGAACGCACCGGTGAGCTCAGCAACACCAAAAGACCCGGAAGACCGCGGAAAACAACTGTGTTGGATGACCGAAGAATCCTTTCCCTAGTGAAGAAAACACCCTTCACAACAGTTGGCCAGATCAAGAACACTCTCCAGGAGGTAGGTGTATCTGTGTCAAAGTCAACAATCAAGAGAAGACTCCACCAGTGTGAATACAGCGGGTTCACCACAAGATGTAAACCATTGGTGAGCCCCCAATTCAATTCAATTCAATTCAATTCAAAAATACTTTATTAATCCCAGAGGGAAATTGATTACGGGAAGGCCAGATTAGAGTTTGCCAAACAACATCTAAAAAGCCTTCACAGCTCTGGAACAACATCCTACGGACAGATGAGACCAAGACCAACTTGTACCAGAGTGATGGGAAGAGTATGGAGACGGAAAGGAACTGCTCATGATCCTAAGCATACCACCTCATCAGTGAAGCATGGTGCTGGAAGTGTCATGGTGTGGGCATGTATGGCTGCCAGTGGAACTGGTTCTCTTGTATTTATTGATGATGTGACTGCTGACAAAAGCAGCACGATGAGTTCTGAAGTGTTTCGGGCAACATTATCTGCTCATATTCAGCCAAATGCCTCAGAACTCATTGGACGACGCTTCACAGTGCAGATGGACAATGACCCAAAGCATCCTGCAAAAGCAACCAAAGAGTTTTTGAAGGGAAAGAAGTGGACTGTTTCTATGGCCAAGTCAATCACCTGACCTGAATCCGATTGAGCATGCATTTCACTTGCTGAAGACAAAACTGAAGGGAAAATGCCCCAGGAACAAGCAGGAACTGAAGACTGTTGCAGCAGAGGACTGGCAGAGCATCACCAGGGATGAAACCCAACGTCTGGTGATGTCTATGTGTTCCAGACTTCAGGCTGTAATTGACTGCAAAGGATTTGCAACCAAGCATTGAAATGTATAAATTTGACTTATGGTTCTTATTCTGTCCCATTACTTTTGGTCCCTTAACAAGTGGGAGGCACATATGCAAACTGTTGTAATTCCTACACCGATCACCTGATTTGGATGTAAATACCCTCAAAAAAAGCTCACAGTCTGCAGTTAAAGCACATCTTGTTCGTTTCATTTGATATCCATTGTGGTGTATAGAGCCAAAAATGTTAGCATTGTGCCCATGTCCCAATATTTATGGACCTGACTGTATATAGATATAGATCTATATCTATATATGGAAACTGTTGTTTTGACCACGCCTAATGTTTTTGCAATCTCTCTGATATCTATCTATCTATCTATCATCTATCTATCTATCTATCTATCTATCTATCTATCTATCTATCTATCTATCTATCATCTATCTAATTTTAGCCTGTAAAGCTGTTTCATCTGCCCCGATAGATAGATAGATCAATAGCTAGATGAGATAGATAGATGATCGATAGGTCGATAGATAGATAAAACAAAAATAAAGATTCTAATGGTGCATTTTTCATGATTTGACATGTTAAAGTTATTAATCAATAATTGTTTACTACATTTTTGAACTTTGCATAAAAATGACATCTTTCATTTTTTAATTGACTGCATCAATTTATTCATAAACAACGATAAGCTTGATCAATTTATTTCTTAGATGTAATTAGATCAATTGAATATTCTCAGTCTTTTAACTAAGTTTTATGTTATTCTATATGGTGACTTGGTTTTGTAAATCTGTGTTGCACAGATACAATCTATATGAATAAAAATAAACAAGTGAACACTAACATGAAACATATTTGATAATATTCCACTAAAGAGGTTCTTTAGATGAGCCCAAACTTGTTTACTAAAACAAACAACGCCACAAATGATAAATCACAGCAGACGGGTTCAATACTCCACGGAAACGTTTTCACTCGTTTAAAAACATTAACTGAATCTAAATCAATGCGAGGCGAAGCTGGCTCCGGTCTGGTTTTATTTAACCCACCCATCATTAAAGATTTAAACTTTTTGGTTTAACGTGTCTCCAGCTAACTTGCTAACGTTAGCTAAGTTTGGGTAAGATGCTGGCTAGCTGCTCCGTTAGCCTCAAAAGAAGCAAGTCGGGCTTCTTGTTCGACCCGGTTCGACCCAAGGAGCGAATAAAAATACAACAAGCACTTTTACCTTGTGTCGCCGAGGCATCCGAAGATGTTTTGGCGGCAGCTTTAGAGACGAGGAGTCCCAAAAGGAAGAGTAGATTCGCAGCAGTCCTACTCCAGCCCGCAGCCAACATCATTGCAGATGTGTATCAAAGCAAACGGGTTTAAAACTGAATAAAAACGAATTATTTCGCGTCTAAAAACTCACTGTCGGTTCACAGCTGTGTTTATTCCGCATAGGAGGCGACACTCCATGTTGTGTAGCATCAGCAGTCCTGAATTTTAGCCTGTAAAGCTGTTTCATCTGCCCCGACGTGCATCCCCAGCCCCTTTTTTTCCATCAACGGACCAGCAGGGTCAGGGAGGAAGACGGCCCCATTCCTCCGAGCCTCAAGCCCCAGAACGGCACTTACAGGCGGACTGCTCTACGCTCAGCACCGCTACTATCTGTGGGCGTCCAGCGCCCCCTACCGACCAAACTAACGATAGATAGATAGATAGATAGATAGATAGATAGACAGACAGACAGACAGACAGACAGACAGACAGACAGACAGACAGACAGACAGACAGACAGACAGATAGATAGATAGATAGATAGATAGATAGATAGATAGATAGATAGATAGATAGATAGACAGACAGACAGACAGACAGACAGACAGACAGACAGACAGACAGACAGATAGATAGATAGATAGATAGATAGATAGATAGATAGATAGATAGATAGATAGATAGATAGATAGATAGATAGATAGATAGATATAGGGGCTGCTTCTGAATGCCTAAGAAAGTTTTTGAGACGTGTCATTTTCCTGATTTCCGCCACTTTCAAGCTCAAGTTCAAAATATTGCATCTTCATAATTGACAAAAAAACTTTTTCTCCATCAATCTGATATATTTTTCAACTTTTAACTTTAGAATTTCACATTTTTAATTTTGCATAAACGTTGATCCAAAGCAACTAGCAAAAGTAAGTAAGTAAGTAAAAATTTATTTATATAGCGCCTTTCACAGATATGAATCACAAAGCGCTGTACAACATGATAAAGATCAGGGCAAATTCCTCTAACCAATAAAAACATCACAAAAACAATAGCAGTGATAAACGTAGAAAATAAAATCATGAGTATAAACAAAGATACTAGGGGCTAAAAGCACTAGGGGGCAATGTAGGGTTTACTATTTTCTGTGGAAAAAGAGTTAAACTGAAAATATTCCCCACACTCAGCAGGGCTTTCTAATTATAAACATTTTACTGTTTTTGTAGGTGGTTACAGGGATGTTGCGTGTCACCGGGTCACTTGTTTAACAGACCAGGTCCAACACGTTGGGTCAGAAGAGTCATGAAACCTTTTAAATTTATTGGGTGCTTTTTGTTTTAAATGAACAAAACAAACTTATATTTTTGTTTTACATTCAAAACACAGGCATCCTGGCTTATGTTGTGTTCAACATGGTTAAGACGCTTTAAACGTGTTAATCAGTTATTTGTGGTTTTACAAGGATGATTTTGGCTACCGAGTTTGTTTCAAAGCTATATGAAAAATAAACTTTGTTTTTGGGATGTTCATAATTACAACAAGTCAAATGGATTACTTTGTAATGATGGACACACTGGAGATTTTCCTGTGTGTGGCTGAAGCAATGTTATTTTATTCTGAAAGAGTCTCATAATGCTTACACCAGTTTTGTCAAACATGAAGATCTCCGCTGCTATAATCCTAATTTTCAACATTGTGTGTGTCCACTCTCTAAGTAAGAATATGTGATGATAATAATAATAATACAACAATAAGTTTTATCCAGTGTCTGAAGGGGCTTCGCTCAGTCAGTATTATCCTAATAATGATCAAACCTTCCATCAGTTCTCAACAGGGTGGCTGGGCTCCCCCTTAAAAATAGGGTGAGATGCTCAATCACCTGGGAGGGGCTTGGCGTAGATCTGCTGCTCCTCCACATTGAGAGGAGCCAGTTAATGTGGTATAGGCATCTGGTAGGATGCCTCCTGGACGCCTCCCTGATGAGGTTTTCTGAGCGTCAAAACTGGAGGAGACCTAAAAGAAGACCCAGGACATGATAGAGGGACGGCCAGGGAACGCCTTGGGATTCCCCAGAAGGAGCTGGCCCAAGTGGCTGGGGAGAAGGAAGTCTGGGCCTCGATGCTTAGGCTGCGGCCCCCGTGAGCCTTCAAGGAGGGCAGTGAAGAAGATGAAGAAACTATTAGTGCCTCTCAAAATAAAAGGTGCTTCATACATTCATCTCATTTTTAAAAGTTAAAATTTTCCATTTGGAAAATTTTAACTTTTAAAAATGAGATGAATGTATGATGGCTATATTTAACCCTAAAAGCTATCTAAATACGAACCAAAATGACCTTGTGCTAATAGTGAATACTGGTGGCGAACCTTATCCTGCGAGACATCGCACTGGGCTGCAGCTCCTTTCGCGCATGCGCTCACCAAAAGTAATGAGCCGCTTTGGATTTTATTTCGTTTTTCTTTTCTTATTGGTGAAAAGCCCGAGTCTAATTCTGTTCCTGTGTCTTGCCATTTACGTTTACATCCATTACAGGACGCGGTAGACCGAGGACGGACTCAGAACCGGATGAAAGCAGCTAGGCTGCAGCATCCATCTCGCCTTTATTTACAAACACGTCACGGTCCTGTCGTCCTTGTGTCGGCTGTAAGTGGCGTCAGACTCGAGTGATGGACTGTGCTGTTCCCGTCGGAGGTCGGCGTCCAAAAGTGGGTCAGACGCCGGGGCGGTTGTGTTTCCCAGCAGCGATAAGAGCCGCTGGATGTTTGATAAGAGATCTTTATATAAGACTGATGACTGCAAACGCTCTGGAGCTACTGACACCATCCAGCCCAGCTGGTAAGATCTAACGACTTAACTCATTTCAAGGGTATTCAAATGTTGTTTTTGTTGCTCCTACAGGGGAATAAGCTGTACCCCCTTTAGATGTACAGATATGTTCTTAACAAGCTTTTTACACTGGGCTGTGCTCAACCCCTCTAGAGATATTCTTATTCAATTCCTGTAATTGTGTCTCAAAGTTGGAGTCTTGATCCTGTGATACTAACAGCATATTTTCCCCTGTTACAGGAAAAAACACAGGTCATAAATAGGGTAAATTGCGTTCTTACGGGGCTCCTGCAGCAGAAACCTGATTTTCACAAGACCTTGCTGAGATGGCTCATTTGTTTCTCTTGAATCTGGGTCATAAGTGTCTGCCACAAATCGTTTTGTTTGTGTGTTATGACTTCCGACCACAGCACCTTTTGATTATGCTATCCAACTTACAGTCAAGTTGTTATTCTGCATATTGTTCTTATCTTTGGGGATTAGTGTGATAAATGATCTTATTTTAAAGCATTATTGCAGCTTTTATTTGACTGAACTTGGCTTCATTGAGATTCATGAAGATAACAAATATGTGACAAATTCTAACAATTACACAAACCCTGACAAACTCTAATTTTATTACATTTGTGCAGTAGTGGTACTGTTCATTTAGGATTTTTCTCCAGCATGTATTTACAACTTGAATCCATAGTAAGATGAATTTTCTGTGTCCTCCACAGTTATCCTCTGATGACCCTTTGTCCCATAATGGGTCTCATCCTGTCTGCTTGGCTGTATGGCAAAGCAGCCCATCCCACTCCACCTTCATCGGCCTTCCTTCCACTTGCCGCTCCAACCTCCTCGCGCCTCACGCTGACTTTGAACTCTAGCCCAGTTTCTCCCGGAGACAGACACTCGCGCTGGAGCTCAGTCCATCACTCTCCTCACTTCATCCTCTCTGCCTGCAAACAGGAGGCGACACGATCTCCTGCTGAGCTCAGCAGCGATGGAGCGAGGGCAGAGATGGGGGTGAGGAGTGGGCTTCATGTGTGGGAGCTAACGTGGAGCCTCAAACACAGAGGAAGTCATGCAGCCATAGGGATCTCAAGGCAGGAATGTCCTTTGCACGACTCTGGTTATAAAGTTCTGGTGGGAGGAGACTCACGTTCCTGGGGATGGGAGCTTAAGACCAATCAGCTCTGGCACGGTGGGCAAACTCTGGAGTGCTACCCAGATAAAAGTAGAAGGTGTCGCTCTGGGGCTGCAAACAATTTCAGACCACAATCTTCTAATTCACATTCCACAAAGGAGGCAGAAGGCCCTCTTCTCATTCCCGAGCGTGTCCTGCTGGTCCTGGATGCAGATGCAGGGACTCTGGGGTATTTTGTTGATGGAAGCTTCCTTGGCGTAGCTTTTAGGGACCTTCCTAGTGGAGTAGAACTCTTCCCAGCAATAAGCAGTGTGAGAGGAGGAGCCAGCATACGATTGCGCTATCTTAACGGCACCACAAGTGAGTATCACCAACTAAAATAAACTGTATAATTTAAAAATGCTTTAATACTTAACATTTGTCCATTTTTTCTTAGGTAATCCTCCAGCCCTGATGGCTTTATGTGGACTGTCAATTTGTCAGCATTTAGGACAGCAACGACAGGACCAAGCTGACAAATTGCCTCTTCCACCTTTCCTCCAGCGTTACCTGCTTTCTTGTTTCTAATTTTCATGAACATTCACGTGCAATCAGCATGCTTTAGCGTTTACAGCATTAAAGCCAAATAAGGCATTTCTGGTTGATTTGATATAAATATGACATTTTCAAAAAACTATTTCTTTAGTTGTATCTTTTGTTTGTGATGCATGGTATTTTGATAACGTTTTGAATGCATTTGCAAATTCCTTACTGTGTAAGCAATATGTTTCCTAAATTTATAATAAAATATGTTTTTGCAATTTCATTGTTTTGCTGTTTGTTTACAAAACACTACAGGCTACTGACATTGTATAGCTCGGAAAAGGTACTCACATAATTCATTATTCGTGTTAATAGTCATATCTGTTGATGCAAATAATTATTTGAATTTGATCACCTGACTGTAATTTTGTCAATTATGCAGCTGTGGATGGTGAATTTACCTGTAAACAAAAATAAAAGGGGGGGGGGGGTGGACTGCATCAATATTAGGATAAATGCACTTAACTACCCATATATGAGCTCCCAAGCTCATTTTGTCAACATAAAAGTAAAGCTATGTAAAACTATATGTATATCATTCTCATTGGGCTTTCCCAAGCTTACTCACTTAGTCAGATGGTCCCGTTGCCATGGAAACAGAGGGCTGAAACAAGGCACGTGGCAAGCTGCACATTTATAGTAAGTTGAGCTAATCTCCCAATGCAAGCTGTTATAAAATAAAAAGTATGTATGAGATGTAGGTGTCGCTACTAAAGTCCCAACTAATTATGTAAGTACATGTTATGTAGTCTGATACTGCAATAAATGTATATTTATAATATATCTTGCTAAATTAGACTAGCGTATGTCATTCACCTAGCATCAACTAGCTAACTGCTGCGACGTTCACTTAATAATGAAGTTACTTTTTTTAACAACAATTAAAGTGTAGGTAATGAGTTATTAAAACTAAATAACAAAATAAGACTAGTTTTCGGATTTTTTAGGTTTACTTAAACGTCAGATATGAAGTTCAACCTCTTTCAGCGCTACTTCCGGTGTAGCATATGTGACTTAGAAAATGGCGTACTTTCCTACGGTTGGGGTTTAGGACCCATAGTTAATATACATGATATCTATGTTAGGACCACTCTTAATCTGTCCATAACCGATGCTGAGATAACATATATTTAAAGGTTTGATAAGTATACACGATGTAACGGTAATTTCCCCAAATTTAAACTAATTTTAATAGCCTCTTTGACTTGCATTCATTTTTTCTTATTTCCGGGGACACATGAGCCTTATGTAAATGTGTCTGACTAGTTAGGCTCTATTTGGGAGTCTGAAGCTGAAAAGTTTGGGAACCACTGGCTTACAAATTAGTATCAGGTTTTACTATGTTAATAATTTGTATCATAGTAGATTATAACGCATACATCGTGCTTTAAGGAAGAAGAAAGATTTTATATGGCGCCTCTCTAGATAAAAACTCAAGGCACAGTAAACAATAAAAATTAATTTTAAAGGATAATAATAAAAAGGAGGAAAAATGATTAAAAATCAGGTTGTAAATCATTAAAGGTTCTCTAAACAGTTCACATGGCAGTGTTTGGTTACCCAAGAGGATGTCCAAAGAATAGATTAACCTTTTTCTGTAGCTTTAATGGCCTCAGAAGAGTAAATAATACAAATGAGTATTTTACTACTGTTATTTTTAGTTTGAATATGTCTGATTTACTATATTTTTGTTTTGGTATGTCTTAAATGTCCTGCCCATATTGTATTTTGTTTCTTGTATTTAATTTTCAAAAGAAAAGTTGGAGGGACTACAAAGTCGCTAGAGTGGCGAGGAGTACCCGTTGGTTGTGGTGGGTGAGGAACGAATTAACGACGTGCGAGGAATATCCTGCCATTGTGGATTGTTTTAGCTAGGTAGACTACGAAAAATAATCATTTTTATCAGAACTGAACTGTGACCCGATTACAACCCACAGCTTTCGACTCTCTGAGGATCAGTTGGTTTTTGAGGGTTACAGACTGGTGGAAGCAGTGGGATGTAGTTCTGATAGAAATGATTACTTTTTCGGCTTACACTACTACAAACAACACATTTGACAGCAACACAAAGCCCAATCTAGTCAGTAGTGATAAAACGTTTTAACATTCACTAGAGGACCAGATAAACTACTCAAAAATGAGCCTAATATCACTTTTAATGAACCATTCTGTGTAGAATTATGGCAGCAGCTCAAGAACATTCAAGAGAAGGAGGGAGAGTGATGGTTTATGGTGGCCCTGGCAGGAATGAAGATGAAGAGGAAGAAACTGACATATATGTGGTAAAATGGCTGCAGATACCAGTGGATTTCTAGATGCTTTCAAAATTAGCATTAAAACTTAATAATTAACGTGTTTGTTTCCAGGTTTTGTTGAGTGTTTTGGTGCATCATGGGCAGGTGGGTCTCTGCTTTTACGACAGCGAGGACTCCTCTCTACACTACATGGCTGACACTCCTGACAACCACGATCTTCACTTGTTGGCCAGAGGTAAATGATTCACTTACTTCCAATAGAAACGTCACACTCACCAAGCTTTACTTTTCCTTTGTTCTGTTATTTGACTGTAATGTACGTCAAATGTTGTTTAATCTTCAGTCATTGAGGAGGTTAAGCCCCAGGTAATCATCACCAGTGCAAAGCAGGAACGGTGCTTGACTCGCTACTTACAAAGCCTCGGTGAGCGCCGCTAAACAAATGTCTTTGGTTGGTTAAGCGGAGTCAGAAACTGTAGAAGAGCATTTTGTTTTGAAGGGATGTGGAACGAGATGTTTCTGGGTCAAGGGAATTTAATGAGATTAAGGATGTTTGACACTGTGATAAGAAGAAGAGTGATTGTGATGGTGCTCCTCCTTATCTTTACTGAGCCTCCTTAACAACAAATAAAAACGGGGCATCTGTTAGTCACATTTTTATAATTAGTCTGATTTTGTTTCAGATTCCAACCAACACTACAAGCCAGAGGTGGTAACTTACCCATATGCAGACTTTGGTAAATGGTTGTTCTAATGCAATATTTATACACCTCCTGTAATTGTCAGGCTGTAGTTCTCTGTTCATTCTTCGTTTTTTACAAATAACCACTTCATTAGGGTTTTGATTTTGAACGTTACAGGTCTGGAGGTTGGTAAACAGAGGCTTCTCTCTGCCCACCTGCCTTTCCTTCCAGCCAACATTTCAGAAAGAGACAAACTGTCCTACCTTTCCTCCTGTATCACTTTTGATTCGCCCCTGATGGTGAGCCAAGTTTCTCATCCTATTCCACCTAGCTCTGCAGAAGCTGATTCTCTGCTACGTATCCATCACTGTCCTGTATTTGAAAGTGTTTGTACATCTGTTGGTTAGCTTAGGGCGGTGGGTGCTCTGCTAAAGTGTCTGGACAGGAGGAGAGTGGGAGTGGAACTGGAAGACAGCAGTGTTGGCGTTCCAGTTCTGCAGTTTCATGCCTACACGCTGTGAGACACACAAATGTGTAGTTACACACACACACACACACACACACACACACACACACACACACACACACACACACACACACACACACACACACACACACACACACACACACACACACACACACACACACACACACACAGGACAATAACATCCTTTCTATAATGATGGCGTTAAATGCTACAGGCATTTGGGATGAATTTGTGGCTATTTGTACTCGTTTGGAACGAGTTTCGGTGTCTCTGTCCAACAAATCCAAGCTGCCTAATGTGATTCAGGTGTTTCTTTGAATGAAAAATCTTCCACTGTTTCTTCTCAATACAGCAAAGATGTGGTGTGCATCGACAAAGACACTTACAGGTATGTTTTTTACCACAGGTATACTGTAAAAGTTAGGCAGATCATATAATTTACTGTTGAGCCTCTTATATTGTGAGGATTTTAAGCTATATTTTGTTGTAAACTTAACTAAATGAATTGAAGTTGACGTATTGAATCATGTAAAGTAGTACAGCAGCTCAGTTTTGTCTAACTTGTACAGTTTAAAAGACTGAATGAATTTAGTGTTTGCTCCAGTGTTCTCCAGATCTTCAAGTCTGACCTGCATCCATCAGTGTACAAGCTCCATTCAGGTGAAAAGGAAGGCCTCAGTCTTTATGGTATGCAAAGATGGCAGAAATTCAGGACATTATCGTTTTTCATTTTCAGTTTTAAATGAAGTGTTTCTGTTTGTTTTATTTTGGGTGTCACAGGGATTTTGAACTGTTGTAGGAGCAAATCTGGGTCCAAACTGCTTCGGTAATAAGTATTCCTGATTTTTTTTTCCCAATCAAAAAATTATTAATTTTGAAACTTTAACTTCTCCCATGACAGTCAGTGGTTTCTGCGTCCAACTCAAGACCTGGCGGTGCTACAAAGGAGACAGGAAGTGATAGTTTTCTTCACCTCACCTCGACACTCAGACATCCTGAAGACCCTGCAGACGTCATTACGCAACTTCAGAAACATACCAGTAAACTGTCGTGACTTCTCGCCAAAACACAAACATTTCATCCACCTAAACCATGAATCTGTGTCTAGAGTCTCCTGCGCCGTATGTCCCTCTCTAACACCAAAGTCACAGACTGGCAAAGTCTCTACAAGGTGGGAAACGCGGTAAAAGCTTCGTGTCTTTCTGTGTGACGGGCTCTGTTTGATGTAACGCGGTGTTTTTCTGCATAGACGGTTTGCAGTGCGTTGTGTATCAGGGACACGGTCCGAAACCTGCCTCAGTCCATTCAGGTGTTTCATGAGATCACCGAAGGCTTCTCTGATGATCTCCACAACATGTGCAACCTCATCAGCCGAGTCGTAAGTTCCAGTTAAAAGCACGGCTACTACACAACTTCAGGCCTTCATGAACATCTCTGTAGGTGGATTTTGAGGCCAGCTTAGAGGAAAATCGCTTCACCATCAAACCAAACGTTGATCCTGCCATCGATGAGAGTGAGTACAGTCAGTCACCCGTTCTTAAGCTGGTATGAGTTTCATGTTTTTGTTGACCTGAGCTTTGCAACCTCATCATCCCGTCAGAGAAGAGGAGGATGATGGGATTGTCTGACTTCCTGACAGATGTAGCCAGAAGGGAGCTTGAAAGCCTGGACCCTCAAATCCCCTCCTGCTGCGTCATTTACATCCCGCTGGTCAGATGAGGCCTCTATGCTGTCTGGTGGGAAAATCTACTTTCAGTTTCCATCATTATGTGTTAAAGTAAACATCTTACAGATTGGGTTCCTGCTGACTGTGCCTCGGCTGCCGAGTATGGTGGAAAAGGAGGATTTTGAAATGGAGGGCCTTGAATTTATGGTGAGTTTATGATTTTGGCTGTATGCCCTGAAAAAGGTTAGCCTGGCCTGCCAGACTCGTCCTCTGTTTAGTTCTGCACAGAGAGAGAGTCGGGTAACTCAGGCAGAGAGGCACCAGAGGGGCGGGACTAGGCAGCTCAAAAATAACCAATCAGAAAAAAGAACGCTGTAGTTTTTTAGCTATAGTCAAAAATGGAGTCTGACGACAGCGCATACATCTTTCTTTAGAAGAAAGTCTTTTAGCGCTTCTACTTGTTTCAAAGACGTGTCCGAGTCATTTAGAACAGAAGAAAGAGCCGCAGCGGACTTTGCTTCAGTCGCCATGTTTATGACAAACTCAGCGATGTCGTGTGTGTTGTACGCTACTCAGCGCTGATTGGCTCAGTTAGAGTTCTCAGGGGGCGGGGTTATTTGAATAGGAGAGTTTCCCAGACTCTTTCTCTGTGAACAGAGGAGGAGTCTGGCAGGCCATGCTAGAAAAAAGTGGCCAGATAAGTGATATTCTTTTGCTACACGGTCTAGGTTTATCTGTGTGTACGTGTGTGTGTGTGTGTGTGTGTGTGTGTGTGTGTGTGTGTGTGTGTGTGTGTGTGTGTGTGTGTTAGTTCCTCTCAGAGGACCGACTGCATTACCGCAGTCAGAGAACCAGGGAGCTGGACAACCTCCTGGGAGACCTCCACTGTGATATTAGAGGTTTATTACTTCTGCTCCTAATGTCTGTAGGTCTTCCTTTGATTCCCAAGACGTTGTCCTGTTTAATGACCTTTTGTCTCTCAGACATGGAGACGGCAGTGATGACGCAGTTGCAGAACACAATCCTGGAGAGGAGCCCATCGCTGTACCAGGTTGGTGGGCGTCACTTAGCACATCTAGGTTACGACGTTTAAAACATGACTCCCACTCTGTGGAACCATTAATGTTTTCAGTGTAATGGTTTTAAAATGTGCTTTGATTTACTGTTTCCTTCTCTGGAATTAAAGCATCTCTGAATCTTGTGTCAGTTGTCAAATCCTAGAAGATAATTGTGAAACTAACCTTTTTAAGTTGTTTGTTTGATCACTAAGGCAGATCCCAGCCATTGAAAACAAACAATAAGGTTTCTTAAGCAGGCATACCACAAACCGCAGCACCTACAGTAGTGAACACATATCAGTAGGGCTGAACGATTATCGTTTTTCGACCAAAATCTTGATTTCAAACAGCACTAAAGCTGCGGTTTTTTTGCGAGTTTGACTGATCCAGGATCTGTTGCGTAACTTTTTTTTAACATCCGGGGTAACCCCGTGTTACGGTGGCGGCAACAGCCAGCGTGGGGGAGGGGTATACTGTCCAGAGCCGAGCCCAGTTCCACAGCTGACAGAGTTGCAGGTTATTTTCCGTTTTATTTTTCCATACACAGCGCTGCTAGAGCCGACAATGGCACCGTAGATGAGTGAGGGGGAGAGAGAGAAAACATAGATGAGTGGGGGAGAGAGAGAGAGAGAAAGCGTAGGTGAGTGGGGGAGAGAGAGAGAGAGAGAAAACGTAGGTGAGTGGGGGAGAGAGAGAGAGAGAAAACGTAGGTGAGTGGGGGAAGGAGAAGAAGAAGAAAGTATCATTTCTGTAGCGCCTCTCAAGATAGAAATCACGAGGCGCTTCACAAAAACAAAAAATATAAAAAAGCATTTAGATAATGTTGAAACATATATTTAAAATTTGCAAAAATAGGCAATTGTGATTAAAAAAAATGTTAAGAAAGAGAGAGTGGACAGGAAAGAGGGAAACCAGTGGATCCTGAGGAAGGTGGAATAGGTGGGGAGAGCAGAATAAAGAGAGAGAGGTGAAGAAGGTCATACAAAAGCCAGCTTGAACAAGTGAGTCTTCAGCTGCTTTTTAAAGGAGACCACTGAGTCCACTGATCTCAGGCTCAGGGGGAGAGAGGTCCAGAGTCTGGGGGCCACAGCAGCAGATGATCTGTCACCTTTGACCTTTAGCCTGGTGCTGCACAACCAGTAGGCTTTGATCACTGGACCTCAGGGACCTGCTGGGGGTGTAGGAACTAAGAAGATCACCATAATGTAAGATGGTGCTTGTCCATGTAAGGCCCTATAGACCAGAACCAGGATCTTGAAATGAACCCTGAAGTTGACTGGCAGCCAGTGAAGCTGGAGGAGAAGCGGGGTGATGTGGGTGGAGAGAGAGACTCCTCCCACATCGGGGCAGGTTCAGGCTGATTTCTAAAGCTCGGTTTATGCTTCATCAGCGCGAGTGCCGAGTCGTGAACTTTAGGTGACTTGAAAGCTCATCTTCTCTTTTAAAACTGGTTTGATTGTTTCTGATGGAACACGTTAATTCAAACAGGCTAGCGTGTCAGAGCGTCTCTCTCACGGAGCTGACCGCAGCATAAGCTAGGCTTCACAGCAGTTTAGTGAGGAAAATCGTGCAGCCAGCCTGCCGCGGTGATGCCGGGAAAACAGTGAGCATTATTTGTTATTTAATACATTTGAAAGCTGTTTCTACCTTCAGATTTCCTCCTTGCATTTTTAGAGTAGAACAAGAACGTTTTTATAAAGCACCTCTCTAAATAAAAATCACAAGTTGCTTCACAAGCACATAAAAATAAAATAAGATAATAATGGGAGAAAATATTCATAGCTTTAACTGTTTTATTCTATGATTAAATAGTAAATAATAATGTGAATGATTTGTACTAGATTAGAGTCTAGACCATCTTTTCACTTCGTCCACAGGATGGCTCGGCAGGCTAGTGTTGGACCTTAGTTTGCGGAAAATCGTGAATTGAACTTCGCAATTTCTGATAGAAAAATCGCAATTCAGTCTTTTGCTAAAATCGTTCAACCCTAGATATCAGTGTTCACCGGTATTATATGAATCCCCAAAAGGTTTATTGGTTTAGACCAAACCTCTTCCTTTGTTCCATGTGTTCAGGTTCTGGGTCTCACTGCCGAGCTGGACTGTCTGATGGCTATGAGCAGTGCTTCCCAGGAGTACAGCTACACACACCCCAAGCTCACCAACCACAGAGAGATAGCAGTCACCCAGGGCAGGTGGATGAGGCATACTAAAAATAAACACGAGTAATATGCAGCGGCTTATTTGACCACGCTGGCCCGTTCTGTCTCTCGCCCTCCCCCCCCAGACATCCACTGCTGGAGCTGTGCTCTCCTGTGTACGTGGCCAACTCCTTCCACAGTTCTGAATCAGACGGCAGAATCAAGATCATCACTGGCCCCAACTCATCTGGCAAGAGCATCTACCTCAAACAGGTAGCCCGTCTGTCCGAGACCTCACCGTGCAGATGTAACGACACAACAGTGAGAGATTGTTTTAATAAGTCTACAAGTGAACCCATGAGGGCAGGCCTGTAAACAAACGTTTAACAAAACAAAAACAACCGAAGAAGAAATGCTGCACAGGCCAGAAGATATCTTCAGGTTTTTTCTCTCTACTATTGCTCTAAATCCTTGAAATTCAGTAAAATCTATAATTTTGTCTTATTTTAGAGAAATCCCCACATTCATTTGCTACATCATTAAAAAGCTGGTTGAGCTTTTTATTACTACAGGTTCTGTTGTTGTTTGCATCTGATGAAGAAAAAAACACGATGATAACAAAATCCACCTCTTCTGCTTGAATCTCTCCAGGTAGGTCTGATAGTATTCATGGCTCTGATTGGCTCAGACGTGCCGGCGAAGGAGGCAGAGATCGGTCTGGTGGACGGGATCTTCACCCGCATGCAGAGCAGAGAGTCGGTGTCGTTGGGCCTCAGCACCTTCATGATAGACCTGAACCAGGTGTCTCACACACGTACACACACGCATGCACACACACGCACGCACACACATGCGCACGCACACACACGCGCATGCACACACACACACATGCGCGCGCACACACACACGCACACTCACACACACGCACACTCACACACACGCGCACACACATACACAAAAACACTGACACACAAGCACACACACACGCATGCACACACACACACACACATGCGCGCGCACACACACACGCACACTCACACACACGCACACTCACACACACGCGCACACACATACACAAAAACACTGACACACACGCACACACACACGTACACACACACGCATGCACACACACACACACACATGCACGCACACACGCATAAACACGCACGCACACACATGCGCACGCACGCACACACACACGCATGCATGCACACGCGTGCACGCACACACACACACACGTACGCACACAGACGCACACACACACACACTGACACACAAACACACGCACACACAAACACACACACACACATGCACGCACACAGATGCACACACACTGACACACACGCACACACAAGCACACATGCACACACGCGTGCACGCACACGCATGCACACAGACACACACACGCGCGCACACACACACACACACAAACACACTGACACACAAACACACACACTCGCACAAACACACTGACACACAAACACACACACACACGCACACACAAACACACACACAGACACACACACACACACACAGTTTAATACACACACTTGTCAGTGTCTGTGTGGGTGCATGAGTACCAACACTGTTATCCTTTAGCTCTGCTCCCACTCGCCACCTGTTAAGTATTTTTTTAAAAGCACACACACACACACACACACACACACACACACACACACACACACACACACACACACACACACACACACACAGAATAAAATATCAGTTTCTTGCTCTTTTCTCCAGATGGCCGTGGCTCTTAACAGCAGTACTGGCAACTCACTAGTTCTCATCGATGAATTTGGAAAAGGAACAAACACGGTAAGGAGACATTGTCCCTCTCCAGTGTGCATTAGGCACACACACGTGTGTATGTTGCAAAACACGACGCAGAATCAGACCCCCGGGTCACTTCAACGTGTTTCACGGTATCAGAATCTGCTCGGATATCTGATTCTCACCGTCTCGAGCAAAAAGGTGTTGCTAACGACCGAAGTCTACAAAGTGCTGCTGGAAGTCGGACCCGTCTCTGTTTGCCTTATTCCCTAAAAACGGGACGGAAGGTGTTCTGTAAACAGATTTAAACGTTGCCGTGTGGGCTGCCAGAATTTTAGCTGCACTGAGAATACCGGAGGTGTGGAAACACAACTAACTCTCTAGTTGCATGTTACACATGATTAGTAGGCGTGTCCCGATACAACTTTTTCACTTCCGATACGATACCAATATTGCAGCCTTCGGTACTGACCGATACCGATATCAATCTGATACGATATCAGCACAAATCATGTGTACTTTTACCTGGAAGGCTTGATCAAGTGATGTTACTTAATCAGAGAAGAAGAGCTAATAATAGTAATTATGAAAAAAACGACATTTTTTTAAACCATGGTTACAAAAATGTGAACCTTAACGGAGTGCTTACGTCGGAGAGTTTTGATACAGTCTGATATAATCTGATACCGTGTTTTTGGGCCGATATCGAAATCGGAATGGGACATCCCTAATAATTACCCATGATCCTTTGCTTTTTTCTGTCGTATGATTTATGGTGGACATCCCACCTACAGGTGGGCTGATGTCTGCTACTGGTCTTTGTCATTAATAGTAAAATTCAACCATAAAGAGTAAAAAGTGAACACATCCACTTTAGCACAAAGGTGAATGAATTCAACATAAAACCTTCGAACTAAAATGGATTAATCAGCTGTGGGAACAAAACGGGTCTAGTGGATAAACCGTTCTAATCCCCAGACTTGTTGGCAGGTCGGTCTGTTATTTTGTTTATTTCCTTCATCAGATCAACACCAAGAAGTTACAGATTTGTGTTTAACAAAGACTGAAAACTTCATCCTTTAGAGCAACGTTCTTGTTCACGCTCAGGTGGACGGACTGTCTTTACTGGCTGCATCAATCTCTCACTGGCTGAGAAGGTCTCCGGTGGCCGTTCCTTGCGTCCTGTTGGCTACGAACTTCCACAGTCTGCTGCAGCTGGACCTGCTTCCAACCAGCGCCCTGCTGTCCTTCCTGGTAGGGAGATCAACGGTCCCTCAGGGGTTCTGGGTTCGATGACGGCCCCTAACGTGCTGACAGGTCACATCATTCAAGCTCAGATTAGTTTTACTTCTATTTGCAGGCAGGATGAAGTGTTTTTGTGTATTTTACGTGGTACTGTGCATGTTTTGGTTAGACGTGTGTGTGTGTGTGTGTGTGTGTGTGTGTGTGTGTGTGCGCGCGCGTGCGCTTTGGTTAGACTCTGGAGACTGCCATAGATGGAGATGAGTTGGTGTTTCTCTACCAGCTGAAGGAGGGAGTCTGTCAGTCGAGCTATGCTGCCAACATCGCTACGCTGGCAGGCCTGCCAGCTGGCCTTGTACGCAGAGCTGTGGAGGTCAGAACACACACACACACACACATTCCTATGGAAACTCACAGACGTTTACCCACAGGCTGATGAGATCTTCCTGTTAAGGTGTCTGAACTTTACCGGACAGGGAAACCCATCAAACGCACAGATAAATCATCAGACGAGCAGTCCAGGAGGTTTGTTGAACTTTATTCACGTAAAATAACAAGGAAGCATCTGTGTGTGAGACAGGAAGCTGTGTGTGTGTGTCTGACAGGTGCAGCTCGGTGGTGGAGAAGTTCCTGAATCTTGACCTGGAGGACAAAGACTTGGATCTGCCGAGTTTCATGAAAGATGACGTCCTGCCCTCTGCTGGAGAGCTGCTGAACCACAGCTGAGGGTTTCTACGGCTCTGTGGTCAGTGTGTTTCCACCCGGGTTCATCTTCTGACAGAACAACAACAATTCGACTTTAAACACATTTATACGGGGTTCAGTGGTTGGTGTAGCAACGACAGTTTGTTTTCGGTGCACTGTGCATCGTCCCGTGTGTTTAATGTGGAGGAAACAGCATAGGTTTGTTTTATTCAACAATAAATTGTATAAAAACTTGATTATACTGTTTTAATTTTGCTGTCCTTGAGTCGATACAAAAACATTTATAAAACAGGCTTCAAGTCCTTCCAGCACATCTGCACATGGTGCTTTTTATAAAACCAGTGTTAGGTTTTATCCCAGCGAGGCTTCAGCGAGGTGCCATGTAGTCATTAAAGCCACGCAGAGATGCAGAAGCGTGTAGAGACGAATCTGATGCGCTGCGTTGCAGAAAGGTGTGTTGCAGCATTCTTTGGTCATAACAAAGACGGTCTTGTTAAAAAGCAGCTCCAGCGTCGTCTCTGCGCCGCACTCAGCAGCTTTTACACACCCCAGCATCTTTACATCCAGGGCATCAGCTGGGGAGAAAAGGCAGCATTTACAGTTTCACCTTCACTCGTTTACATCCTTTCTTAGGTGTGCAGTAACAGGTACGGTGCTGTTCTACGCACCTGCCTTCCCTCGGCCCGTGTAGCAGAGCTCCCCGTGGCTGCAGTTGGTTTCCGTCGTGTAGCACGCATCCCAGAAGCCCAGATCACATCGAAAACACTCCAGATAATCTTCCTCTGGTTCTAATCCCGCCGCCCCCATGAGTGGCTCCAGCTGCTCTTCTTCCTCACCTGACCCCAAAGAACGCCGTTCAGGGTGTTTTATAAACACACGAAGCTCATCGCTGCCACTAAACATTCGTAATAACTTCCGTTGTTTTAGATGAGCAGTGCAGCAGCGACGGCTACGTCCCCTGGCTGTAGTAGGGACGTCTCGGCCCCGACCGCAGAGGGTGAAATATAAAGATTACCGTGTTGAAGCGCGGCTGAAGTGGGTTTGGATGCAGCCGTCTGTCTGATACGTTGTTTTCTGAGACATTAAATCAAGCGAAGCATCCCAGAAACGAGTGTTTTGTTTATTCTGCATCAGTCTGGAAGTCGTTTCTCTGAGCGCAGCAGAGTTTTTAACGGGACACCGAGTAGAGCTACCAGAAACTTCTTCTCTCAGCTATCGTTACCACTTCTGGGATGCTCCAAGTTCAAAGATCTGTCAGGTCGCCTTTGCCGTGCACAAACGTGTTTCCTCCAGCAGAGACGCAGTTTCAGATCTGTTCCAGCTCACCCTCGGATACGTTTCACCGAGACTCAGAACCCTGATCCCTTTTGATCTCGTTAGTGCTAGCTCCGGCTAAGCAGCAGACAAAAGAGAAGGGAGATTTACAAACTCCGAGTCCCAGTCCGATGCCAGTTATCGCGCTACGCTTGATGGAGAAAGTTTAAAGTTACTGAAGTAAAGTCGCCTTCTGTAGTCGTGGACTTTTTTCTCCAACTCTAACAACCATTTCTTCACTGGAACGAGACTCTGGAGACGCGAGGAGCTTAGGAACTACTGTGATAAACAAACTTTCAGAGTGTTTACGGTCCCGGAATGTGAGGAGAAACATCACATTAGTCAGAAAACAAGCTTTTGAATGACTCACCTGTTTATCTGTTTGGCTTTCGTTACCTGAGGGATCTGTAATCAGACCCTTTTTATATCATCACCCACCAACGTGTGTGAGTTCATTGCTGGTGAGTAACTGTGGCGACAGTAAGGTTGAACAATAGTTTGAGACACAAACATGCCGTTGGGTTAATGTGTGCGTCTACGCGAAGGTAACCTTAAAAAGAAAACAAAACGCCTTCTGACTCTGGGAACGTCGTCTTACCTCGAGCAGCGGTGAGCATCACGACAGCGAGAATAAACAATATCAGTCCTTTCATTCTGAGCAGCTGCCTTCCTTAGAGCGCACCACGAGGGCTGCTGAGCTAGCCGGACGCTGCGCTGAAATTGGATTAGTAAGTTATCCATTTAGGACCAGTCATACCTGCTGGAAGGCATCAAACGTGGTTTGAAGAGTCGCTGGATAGATCCACAGACGGATAACAGGAATCGGAGCTCAGTTAAAAGACGTTTGTACTTGTCTTGGACGTCAGAAAGGAAATTTTAGTTTAAAAACCGCACAAGTGGTCTCTAACTTTCCTTAATGACACCTAATCTAAAGTCCCTCTTCTGCTGAAACGTGTTTGCTTGTTAGTGTGGGAGACACTTTTCACTGGAGTTCCCATGCTGGTTGGCTCTCAGTCAAAGAAAAATGTTGATTGAAGTTTTCCTCCCTTCAACTCGGGAAGAGAGAAGCTGTCGGAGCACTGAGTCAGCGTAGGGTTAAGCAGCTTATTGCTTCTTGTCGGTCTGCTAAGATATGTATCGATGCACGCACGCACACACACCCGAGCACAATCCTCTCCGAAGGGAGAGGATTTGATTCTAGTTTTGTTGTCGATGCAGCATAAAAACCTGCACGGCCGACTTATGCAATGCTGCTGCACAGACACGAACACAGATACTCAGACTTCCCTAGGCGTCTGGATGCAGGGATTTCTGCACGCGCTCTGATTTGTGCTGACATGATTCCCTCTTGGTTGGTTTTAGTGTCGGAATCAGAATTGATAAATAAATAATCGCCGGCTGCAGGCTTGCAGTGTAGCCTGTTAACGTGTGAGATCAGTTCACACCGAGCTGGACTGGGTGAGAGTGAAGAGTGGGCAGCTTTCTGCTCAGGATTGAATCAGGGCTCTGAAATACACATCCAGCACCTTAAAAACATCAAGCTGCTCCTACACAAATGCAGTGTTGTTGCTGAGTGAAATGTGCAGCCAGGATGATGCTACACCTCCGTCTCAGTCGTCATCTGGATGGCAGGATCCCAGCAGGGGTCCAAACAACAAGGAAATGCTCAGGAGTCCTGGAGTACCCATAAAACCCTCCAACTAGTCCTCGGTGTAATTAGAGACACGAGGAGAACAGCACTGGTGGTAATTAGGATGAAATCCACCCAGTCGGACTTTTTTAAGCACATCTTTAACATTTTTCTCTGCTCTGTTTCGTCCGTTTTTTGACTCTCCGCTGCCAAGGATGGAGATGGAGGAATGAATATTTGAATAAAGCGTAGGAAACATGATGAAGAGATGGACGATGAAAGGTCGAGATGGTGGGAGAGTGAGGCTTCAGTTACTCAACTGGCAGGAACGGTTCGCTCGGTTATTCCACGTCAGGAATAACTAACAGCTTCACCAGAATGTGCTGTTATCACTCCGACAGGCGGTTCGATAATGCTTTTGCTTTGGTGTGTGTGTGTGTGTTTTCACAATATCTCACGAACCACCGGATGGATTTTAATGGAACTCTCAGAGAGAAATCAATGAAGTTTTGGAGTCATTCCCATTAAAGATGGCCACCACAGCCAGTAGACCCTAGCAAAGTTGACTACCCATGCGCTCAGCGCTTTTCAACATCTGATCAAAGCGGCGTTAACGAGCAAGCCACCCCCAAATCAACATGCTTTTTCTGATAAACTATATAAACGCGTGTCTAAAGAGTCACGCTTCTCCGTCAGCTCCAACAGGGAGAGACGCGCATGCACGGACGGAGACATTTTGCTCTCATGCTTCTCCGTCTCCTGGAGAGCGTTGCAAAGCAATTCCCCTCCAGGACAACAGAGGGCGTAGCGCTGTTCTGTGGTATCCTGTCATGTATCGGTCCCAGATAGTGTGTTTATATTGTGTTTTTTGTATATAAGAGACTTTTTAACACGGACAAATTTGTCTCTCATCCTCCTCCACCTCTTCATGCGCTCGCCACCTCTAAACCCACGTTTCCTGTCATTTCCGTCCATAAATAAAACGCTTGCTGCGCATCTTTTCACTCCTCCAGTCACGGGGAATTAAACGTTCATGTTTTTAGAGTTTTTTTCACGAGGTATTCATCAAGCTGCTCCGTGTCCGCTGCTAGTTATCCTCGGCTCTCTTTATGTTTTTGAGGGCGCAATGGCGGCGGTGTAGACGACAGCGACGTCCTGACCAATCACAAGCTTGCGTTCTCCGTCTCGACGGATGGATGTTTAGAAAAGAGAGCTCGACTTCGAACTTGCGGGGGCTCTCCAGCAGGCCCACAAGGACGGATAATGGCGTTGCATGTCTCCGCACTGACGCAGATGCAGAAGCATGCCTCAGGCTTAATCGTGCTGCAGACACGTGTCGTCAGTAGTTTTGCACTTTAGTGCATTTTAGTTCAAATTTAAATTTTCTGCCAAACTGTCAGTGTTGTGCCGTTGTCAGGTAAAAACTCTGCACTGCATTTGAGTTTAAATCTGCCATCGCTATTGGCTAAGAGGTACCCTAGAACGTTAGCTGGTACCATATGATGTCACAATGTCGTTGTGAGCCTGTGTGTGTGTTTGTTATCAGCTCCGCCCTCTCGGTCTGCTAGGCAACAGCATTTGTTGCATTTTTCAAACAGGAAGTGGGAGTTGAGTAAGACTCTGGTAGGGGGTGACTTGCTCTTTAACTCTCATTTCATGACGTTTAAAGATCTTTAAAACTCTGACACAAAATGTGCAGCGATAGGCTTTAAAATACAAATGTTTTCAGTCATTTCTCTGTTTTTTCTGTTGTCACCTCAGAGATGGAAAAGGAGAAAGTTATTTGAGATTTTTACAAACCCGGATGAGTAAGACGATAAGAAATCCAGATTTTCCGGGTTTTCTGAGCACCAGCTGGTGTTTATAGCATGGCTGTAGGTGTGGAGTGAGCGGACTGTGTCCTCATGTGCCGCTCTTGTTTGTAATGAAACCCAGTTCCCCCCCAGATGAAGACCAGACTACCCCACGCGTGCGATGAGACAAAGACTCATTCAGGAACTAATCTGGCTCATCTTCTTAAGTGAACCTCTCCACCTCGGGACAGGTCAGGAAGATGATTGTGAAAGAAAAATGAAGGACAGCGTGTTTATCTCCCAGTGAATCACCCTAGCAGCTTTTCAGCAAACCTCCTCACATTCAGTTATGGTCAACGCAGGAGTGAGTTTCTGAATTTTTGAGGCTAAAACAACAAAATGGTGAGCTGACATCAAACTTTTCAGCTTTAACCTCTCAAATGGGCAAGCCAGTAAGAGAAATGGGACCAAAAGTCACAGGTCGTGACTCGGTGAGCCAGCCAGAGGCACTGAAACACACCAACAGATATGTAATCTCTTTATTCAGGAATGCATAGACTTGTGTGCTTGTTTACGAGTCAGTTCTGAGGAGGTTCAGAATCTGTCCTTACGTTAAAGTTGATTTCACTGGAGTTGCATGAGTCTGAGTGGACAGAGTCGTGAGAGCTGGAAGGACAGGGGGAGGGGGTGTGAGGAGTGGGCTCCTGGTGGTGCAGGACTCGGGTGAGGAGGACAGACTTTCCTTTCTTCTCCTCCTTAGTTGCATCTGCTTCCTCTTCGTTTGTGGCTCCTGCATCAGGAGGAGGCGCTTTGCTGCTGATGTTGTGCTTGTTGGAGGGAGACGGAGGAAACGGGGGGCTCTGGCTTGAGAGGGGGAGTGGGTGAGCTGGAGTGGCCCAGGAGGTCTCCTCCCCATCTGTGTGCTCCCACTGCTCCTGCGAATCTTCCCAGCAGCTCCCCCCCTTCAGGTCCTCCAAGTCGTCAGGTGTGTCTTGTCTGAGGTCCTCCCGGTCCCGGTTCTCATAAAGCAGCGTGGCGGCGCAGATGAAGATGAAGAGCCCCACCCCCATGACCACGGGGCCGGCCAGCTTCATCCTCTCAACATGGGTGCTGCTGCGTCCGCCCGCTGGCTTTGGTGCTGCAGAAACGTAGCCCGCCACTGCTACGCTCATCCCCACCAGCACCACCAGCGCTCCCAGCAGCAGCCACATGCCAGGGGCGGAGCTCAAGCGCAGCTTGGTTTGGAGGGCTTTGCCCTTCCTCAGGTGTCTGTGGCATGCTGGGAGGCAAGCAGGTGATGAGTGGGAGGAGGCGGGGCTGCAGGCAGGACTTGCAGCTGTCATCCTCTGGCTTCAGACTGAAAACAGAGAGACAGAGAGACTAAAAGCCCTCAACCTGAATGCAGCATCTGGAGAGGAGACGGTTTACTCTGCGTAGCACACAACAGGAAACAGCTGTTTTAATAAGACATGTGGCTGAGTTAATAAGATGCCAACCTCTCTGCAGTTCCCCGTGTGTGTCTGTGGAGCAACACGGGCTCCTCAGCCAGCCCCCCCTCAGATAACCAGGACTTAGCTGTTACTGAACCACTCATCCAATGACTGACTGGATCTTAAGGTTTCCCTTCACGATCTCACTGCAGCTGAAGTCACATAACTGAACTCCCAGTGGAATTTCTCTGGGAGCAAGCGGACGGATCCGACTGATAAATCATCCCAGGTGTGCTTTTACGCATGCATCTGTGGCATTGTAGCGTTGCACCAGCACTGTTGCTCCCAGAAATCAGTGACTTCCTGGTGTGTTAAGACCGCCTGTGTGCATTCAGAGTGGTACTTGCCTGGTTTTGGGCGTAAATCTGAGGCAGAAACTGGCTCCGGATCATCATCAGAATACATAATCCCGAGTTGTGTTATTCCTCCCACTCCTTCACTTTGATCCACGGATAATCCACACTTTGTCCCAGTGTCTCCAGTAAGATCTCTGTCCTCTCCTGGCTCTTTCAGCGTGAGTCAGAGCGATGCGCAACAGCAGAGCCTGAAATGTGGCTTTTATTGTAAATAAAAGTGGTGCAGCGCTGCTCTGCCTCTGTCTCTTCCGTGCTGTTTGCTGTGCTCCTGCAGCCCGTTCTTCAGCGTGTGTGTGTGTGTGTGTGTGTGTGTGGAGGAGGGGTCGTGGGAATCTGAGGCTGGTCCTGGCCAGTCCCACGGTGAGCCCAGTTATTTATTCTCTGCAGTCATCAGCCAGCAAGTCTTCTGAAGAAGTTGCTAAAGGAGCAGTTTCCTAAATACATAAAACATGAAGAGGGGGAAAAAATCAATCCCTCACTTGACTGTAAATTATGCTCCCTGCTATTTTTCACTCATTAAAGATCATTTTGGGAGGTGATTTTTGTGTGTTAAAGCTATAAATAATTATAGAAATGTATATAGTCTATGTCCTGTAGATTGATGAGCTAACGGCTAGTCTAACTATAGCCAAGATCAAAGTTGTGACTCTCAAACAGCTCTAGGCTTAAATTTCATTGTAGTTTCAGCAACGTTGTTTTACAAAGCTTAACGCCGTAGCGGCTAAACACATTTCTATAATTATATTGTGGGTATTAAAAATAAATAAAGTGGCTCTCTTGAATTTGCCTAAAAAGCTCCACCAGCAACACGTTTCAGACCAAAACCAACCACTGGACCATCCGGTTGTCGGCCTCACAGAACCGCCGCACTTCCCTGGGTCCTCCTCATCACACACTCACGTGTTCAGCAGCAGAACGCCACCGGTGTGAGAGGTTCTCCGCTCAGTAACATCAGAGGAGGAGAAACAGCCGGCTGCTACCGCTTCAGCTTTAGGACAAACTACCAGAGTCCCAAAAAGAAAAACACCGTCTGAAGTCACGGACAACAAAAGACGTTTGGACCTAAAAAAAAAGGCGCTGTCTCGTGGGTTTCCGGTTCCGGTAGATGCAGATCCAGGGGAAGACACCTGAAGAGAGGGGGTAAGTGTTGCGTTTAAAACCTAGCTTTAGATTCGCTGTAGCAGCTTTTACACGTATAGCCTCCAGTTTCGCTTAACTACAGGGTATCTGCAGGTTTAAGGGAGCCAAATTTAAGACTTTTTAAGACCTTTTTAAGGCCACTTTGACCAAATTTAAGCTATTTTTAAAATTAAATTTAAGCTATAATTTCCAGCTATTGCCTGGAAACGGTGCTAACCACGTCGCGAACGTGGGATTAGCCATCCCGTTACCATTAAACTTGCACTTCCCCATGGCGCAAGCTCCCACTAGCTTAACCAGCTAACGTGCTCATCTAAAAAAAGCCCCCTTTCACAACCAGCTGAATGTGTACGGTTCCGCTTACGGCAACATCGTACACAAAAAATGCTGAAGACTAACTAGAAATTCACGAATATTTTATAGAAATAAAAGAATCTTGTTTATTGGGTCTTTGGTAATTTAAGACCTTTGGAAACTATTTAAGGATTATTTGTCATTTTTAAGGATTTTTAAGGCCTTAAATTTGGAAAAGCCAATTTAAGACTTTTTAAGGATCCGCGGATACCCTGAACTAACATTTTTGCAAGACTTGAAAGAAGCATTGATCATAAGGTGACATTAAATGATTACCTGTTGACTCTATTTAACCTCTAGTGATGGTAAAAAAATATTTTAATCAAATTTAAACGGAGGCCCAGTTTCCTCACAGCAAGGTCTCCTGTTTGGCTCTTGGCTGCATGTTCTCCCCATGAAGGCGCTGGCTTCCTCCCTCTGACCCAAAACATGCATGTTCGTGTAAACGGAGACGGGCCCTAGCTGTGTCAGGAAAGTTTTTTTTTATCTCTTTGTGGTTCTGCGTGGACTGCAGACACCTGTCCAGCCTTTCCCCTCCCTCGTCTGTTGCCATGGAGATAGGCACAAGCTCCCCGCCACCCAATGAGGATGCAGTGGTGCAGATGTTGTGTACATGGACATTTAGAGGTATATAAGGGTAAATATTCAGAATAGAATCTGAATTTATATAAAGTTCAATCTGAATAATTTAATTAAAATATATAAAGTACTATTCCGTACTATTGAGGTTCTTTTTAAAATGTTTTTCTAATTTTTTATTCTCCCTGTGTCTTATTGATTTTTAGATGTTAGTTTTGGGAATTTTGTTGTATTTCCTTTTTATCTTTTATCTGTGTTCGACATGTTTGTATAACGCCGGTTTAATTAACTAACATTTTTAATGTACAGTGCCTCGTTTGGTTGTAATGCCTTGTGAATGCGCTTTATAAATAAAATTGGATTGGAAAGTCACGTCTAACTATTGAAAACTAGATATAGAGACTTTGAATATTTTATAAAATTCAGAGACGTAAAATGGAGGTAGTTTAAAGAAATAAAATGATGAGATCCTGTCTAACACCTCAATGTCCGGGTCTGGAGGGTCGGTATCCAGCATGTTTGGGTGGTTTCCCTGCTCCAACACACCTAATTCAGTGGCTGAATCACCTGTGCAGCAGCTCATCAGGCTACAGAAGCCTGTTAATCATCTACTAATTGAAATCAGGTGTGTAGAAGCAGAGTGTCATGGCCTGTGTCTGCATCTCCCGTCATGTGTCTCCTTGTGTCCTCCATTCTTCTCTAGGTGCTCCTTTTGTGTCCTAGCGCCCTCATGTGTCATGTCTGCGTCTTCCTCATGTGCCTTCTGGTTTTCCCCATTTGCCCCTAGATCTCCAGCCCTCTAGCTTTCTCAAGTCGTTTCCTTTAGTCACAGCCTTTCATGATTTAGTATGTTTTTTCCCATCAGTGTTTATTATTTTTCTCCCTCCTCCCTTTGAATTGTAGTTATGTTTCCCGCTCTTTTGTATTAGGTTTTATTCTTAGGTCAAGTTAGTTTCCCCCCTGATTAGTCATTGCCTTCACCTGGTCCTCCTCCCACAGCCCACACACCTGCAGCTCATCTCCCTCTCATCCTCCCTGTGTATTTAACCCCTGTCTTGTCACAGCATCTTGTCGGTCCATTGTTTGTGTATCAGCGGTTTTTGGTGCTCTGTGTGAGCGTTGTGTCTCGTTCCAGTTTTGTGCTCTAAGAGAGATTTGTTCTCCTGATTCTGGATTTTTTGGATTTTTGGCTCCCTGCCTTTGGATTTATTTTTTCCTACAAATAAAAGGATTTTTTCTTTATATCAACTCCTGCCTCGTGTCATCCTGGGTATCTGCATTTTTGGGTCCTAACCATCCCCTTAACGTGGCACAGAGTTGAGATTAAACGCGTTGGACACCGGCCCTCCAGGCCCAGAATTGAATACCCCTGGTTTATTTGGTTTGCGTGTTAAATATTACGTTTTTAAATCGTCAGATTTAAACGTATTTATATATTTAAACATGACAAAAATTTTGTTTTCACATAATTTTCTTTCTGAACATTG